ATAGAACAACAGAAAATTTAGTTAAGTACAAAAAAGCTAATGCAGACTTTAGAATAGAGCTAAAGTTTGCAAAAAATCAATCTTTTGAAAACTCACAGCTAGCATAAAACCCACCTCAAGCCCCAAAAATATATGGTGCGATTTAAAAGCGCTCGCAGGAGGATACACACCTAGTAGAATTGACTTTATTCACTCTGCACAAAGACCCATCTACAATCATCAAGACATGGTGGAAAACTTTGCGCGTACATGGTCGAACGATTCCCACAGCTCTAACTTCCACGCTAATTTTACTACTCTCTCAAAACAGTTCATTTCTGATACGTATCAAAATCCCACTCCGTGCCCTGAGGCTACATTAATTGAATCACCAATCACAACAGAAGAGTTTGACTTTACAATTTCCAACATGACTGGAAAAACACCCGGTACAGACAAAATAACATATCCCCTCTTAAAAAACCTACCCCATACCTTGAAAACCAGACTCACAACTCTGTATAATAATATCCTCGACCAAGGCGTGTTTCCTCAATACTGGAAAGAAGCCAATGTCATCCCTATCCCAAAACCCAATAAACCCAACACCTCTGTAGAAAATTTTAGACCTATATCCCTAATAACCTGTATGTCAAAAGTTCTTGAAAAAATTATTTCCAAGCGGGTCATGTGGTTTCCAAATAAAAAGGGGTGATAAGTCCCAATCAGTTCGCATTTCAAAAGGGTTTGGGTGTTATTGATCCACTGCTCTTCTTTGAAAACTGCGCCTTAAAAACATTATCTGACAAAAATCACTTATCCGTTCTTAGTCTCGACTTTGAGAAAGCTTTTGACAGAATTGGAGCCCACGTTGTACTGCAGGAAATAAGGAAATGGAGTATTGGAAATAAAATGTATAGATTTATCAAAGCAAAACCGAAAACTCTCCGTAACACACAACTCGTCTACTTACCCACACTCTCGGCAACACTTTTTATTATAGCATTTAATCAGCTCAGCCACTTAATATCCTCAAATACATATGTAGACCATTTGATTTACGCTGACGATGTGTTAATTTTCTCGGCTTTGAAAGACTTGACTCAAGTCAAAGCTGCTTTTACTGGGATCCTAACCGATATTGCCGATTGGTCTAAGACATCAGGGACCCAAATTTCCGCAAATAAAAGCGCAACTTTTCACATCTGCAGAAAAAGAAAGTGTACCTTCCCTAACCTCCTCCTTGCTAATACACAAATTCCGCACACTAACTCATTAAGAATACTTGGTCTAATTTTTGATAAAAAACTTACTTATAAAGACCATTGTAAATATCTTAGAATAAGCTTACTCACTAGACTAAATATTATAAAATATCTCACGTCAAAACATTGTCATATCCACATTAAAACTCTAATTAGTATTGTAAAAGCTCTGATGTTAACTAAAATTGGCTTTGGCCTGCCAATTTATGGACATTGCTCTAAAACACACCTCGCGCTGATCCAAGCACCCTACCACACAGCGGCAAGGAGAAGTATTCGCGCTTTTCCTACCTCTCCAATTAAAACCGTGTTAGCCGAAGCAGGCCTACCAGACATTCACCACAGAACAACACACAACACAATGATGCTTACTCCAAAAATCATTCAATGCTAAAACAAACTCCTGTTTGATGTAGTGAAAGCACCACAACATGCAACAAACAAGCCATCAGCGATAATGAGATGCTTGTAATTCGTTAATCAGCTCGACATTATATCAGCTCCACAACTTATTAAGGAGAGCACTCATCCGCAGTGGCTGACGCTAAAATCCTCAATCATAGACACTCTCTACAAATACCAAAAGGAAAAAACTAACGCTGACCAATACGTCCAGTTGTTTAACGACGCTGTTGAGACTTACAAATCCGAGTGGGAAATCATCTACACCGATGGGTTAAAATCACACACCCACACAACATTTGCAGTGACAAATGACCAAGGTGTCGCAATAGCTGTCGGTGCTTTACCACCGTACTGCTCTTTACTATCAGCTGAAGCGGCTGCGCTACATGAACCAGTGCTTTTCGCCTCACAAACAGAAAAGAAGTACATAATATGCAGTGATAGTAAGTCGACAATTGATGCATTATTGAACATAAACAATAGTGCGGTGTTGATCAACCGTATAGGTGAATTATTGTATCAACACAGAAACAAAATCAGAATCATGTGGATCCCCGGCCATGCTAGAAGAAGTAGGAAGAGAACCAAACATCTTATATCCTCACATCACTGAAAAAGACATATGGTCAGTGGGACCGTCGGTTCGAAGCCTACTGAAAGAAGTCTGATGAGGAAATGTGGTGATTTTCGAAATAGCTATCATTTCTACCATTTTTTCAAATTATTGTTGCTTTTCCACAATAAATTTTCATTTAAAAAACGGCCTCGAGCTCAATACAAATTGTTGAATATAATTGTTATAAGCCAAAAAAATAACAGAAAACAAATAAATAAATAAATTAAAAATTTTTTTTTTTTCAAATATGCATAAACTTTGAAAGGCTAGGAATTCGCTAAAAAGAGTATCTAACTGAATGTCTTTATTGCAAAACCCTTTTACAACGTCAGTAAATAGAGGAAAAAGAATTGTAAGTTGTGGGCAAAAGCTATTAAATTATTCAAATTTGTTGTTATTAAACTGAAAGTTATTTTCGAGATAACTAACAACACTCGACAAAAAAACGTCAACCTATCATATTAGCGCAATTAGTACGTACCAGTGTTGGCAAATTGTTAATCTGATTAAAGATTAAAATGTTAATCGCGATTAACCATTAAAATTAATTAATCGCAATCATCCGTACGATTAATGATTACATTTTTTTAATCGTTAATCGTCGGTTGTGACTACGATTAATTAATTTTAATCAGTAATCGTTAATCCAATTAAAAAAAATCTGATTAAGAGGTCTAGTTTGTCCGAATTTGGAACCAACCACGGGTTAAAGTTATTTTTTTTGTGTTTCACGCATAATATATAAAAAAATTATAATAATTTTTATTAGTAATACATAAATTGGGAATTTTTATAACCCATCGCGCATGTGCAGAGGGATACTAAAGCCTAGTTTGCTTAGCGTATGTTCAAATAGATCTTAATGAAAATGCACACCAAATTGCTTAGATTGATGAGGAAAACCGACTTTGCCATACCCGATTAACTGGCCTTGTGTGCACAGTAAAATTTCAGCATAATTTAATTAATTACAAAACCTATTTAATCAAATTAAGGGTTAATGATTAAAAATTCATGTTTTTAATCGCGGTTACGATTAACTGTTTAATCGGATTAAAATTAATCATGATTAACGTAATCGGATTGAATTTAATCGAATTAACTAATTGATTAAAATATCAATCGATTATTGCCAACACTGGTAGCTACCCAGCAAAAAATCGGTAATCGCTTTTAGTGGTAACGTGTTCTAGAAGGCATAGTGTTATAATGCCTTCGAATTTTTTCGCTTCGCAAAGTAGAATGTCCTACAATATTTTATTTATTTCGCTTCTTTGTTTCATTTCGGGGAATGCAAAGTAGAATGTCGGATAATATTTTTTTTAATTCGCTTCTTTGCTTCATTTCGGGAAATGCAAAGTAGAATGTCCTACAATATTTTATTTGTTTCGCTTTTTTGCTTCATTTACGGGAATGCAAAGTAGAATGTCCTACAATATTTTCTTTTTCGCTTCTTTGCTTCATTTCGGGGAATGCAAAGTAGAAAGCTGCATCGTAGTCTGCTGAAAAATAGAATGAATATCCAAAAATTCTTTTTCTACCGTTACTTTCTGTGGAAATTTGTCTTGCATAAAAATCATGTTTTGCTTTGTTCAATTTGCAGCGAAGTTGAAGTCAGCCAATGAAGTGAAGTACAAGAGTGAGGAGGTACAATTTTAAGCTTAATTAAATATGCATGTATGTACATTCCGATTTTTAAGTAAAATCTAAATACCTAAATACATACATATGTATCTATAAAAACTGATTTATAAAGGCTTTTATCTTTTAAGACAATCTTTTTTGCTGATTTCAATTTAATATAAATAAGTATGTACTTATCTAGGCATTCTACATTAGTTTCTCTGTAAGGCATTCTTTGTTCGCTTCTCTGGATTCTGTTTATCCATGCGTTCTCCCTTCGTTCGAAGGTAATGCTGCGGGTAAGGGCTTACGGCCTATGACATGGCCATGTTAAAATAATGCCTTTTTGAAGGGAAAGGGTAAGCGATTCCCATCGCTTAGCTCGTTTCCACTTATGCTTCTATAGTAATCGTGTTTTTTGCTGGGTAACGACTCGGCGATATGCCCAAAAAACGATTGCTCTGTTTAAACGACTTTACAAAAGAGAAGGTTATCAATTCGTCGGAATATTTTTTTTTATGTATGTTGCCGCATAACTTTAGACCGCGTTAACCGATTTACATAATTATTTTACTAAAGGAAAGGTGTTACTTCACAGGTGGCCCCATACAAATTTGGTTTGTCGGAGAGCGTAAACTGTGACCAGTTACGACATGAAAAGAGTCGAGGCACCTTTAAATTTGAGAGAATTACTTCAGATGATGTCATCCTTATAGTGTAGAAATTTAAGACTAAATTGGTGGAAATAATTCATTATCTGAAGGTGTTATTAAGGATTCAGTTGAATACATGGAACACTTTTACGCCTTATTAATAAATAAGGGTCTTGAATCAGGAACAGTACCAAAAAATGGAAAACCTCGACCATAGGTCCGGTAAAAACTGTAAAAGCTGAGGAAATTAGACCAATTAATACACTGCCTAGTATGGAAAAAATCTTGGAAAATGTGGTTAAAAATCAGTTGGTGCGCCACATTGAAAGTAAAAACATACTCATTAAGGAGCAATAAGGTCTTAGAGCTAAACACTCTTACGAGACTGCGCTGAATTTGATTATATCCCAGTGGAAAATGAACATCGTTGTGGCTTTCGAGACCATTGACAGGTCAAGAATGTTGAAAAATCTCGAATGCATTGGTATTGAAAACCCGGAGCTTAACTGGTTTCGAAGCTTACTCTCAGATCGTATGCAACAAACTGTAATCGAGTCAAGTGTGTCAAATACAGTGGCAGTCAATATTGAGTTGGCGCAGGGATCGGTATTGGCCCCAATACTTTTTAATATTTACATTAACGACATAAATATGGCACTCTGGCACTGTAAGTTAAAACTGATGATACACTGTTAACGATCAGTGACATAAACTTACACACTGTGACGACTAAAATGCAAGAAGACTTGGATTCTTTGTACAAATGGTGTGTTTAAATAAACTTAAGTTGAATCTAAATAAAATTATAGTTTAAAAAACTTAAACCTCCCTATTATAATTCCATTCGTACTGTCATCAGGTATGTAACTTGAGAATAGAAATCGCTTAAACTCATTAAGTACATGGGTATATATATAGATAACAAACTAAAATTTTATGAGCATGTTAAGCAAACAGTGAACAAAATTGTGAAAAAATTGGTCTTATGAAAAGATCTTGTAAGTATCTGAGAAGAAGGTATAAAACTCTCGTATATAGATCTATAGTAGAACCGCATTTTATATACTGCCCAACAATTTTCTTCTTAGCAAGCGACGCGAATGTCGAGAAATAGCATAAAATGGAAAATAGAGTTATGCGGTTCATATTAAATAAGCGTTACGCAGGAGATTATCACAGATATGAATTGGTTGAGTGTTAAGCAACAGGTTTTCTATCATGCTATGAGTTTCGTATACAACATAAAGAACGGTAAACTTCCAGACTATCTGAGCGACAATCTTCGGTATATAAATGAAACTCATTCATACATACTCAGGGAAAATAATTGCTTTAGACTCCCACTTTATAGAACAGAGGTAGACAAAAAAAAATATATTTTATAACGGTTTAAAGCACATGTAAAAGACTGTGATAACTTTGCTGTTTTTTAAAGACCACTATTTGATCACTGTAAAACTCTGGCTATTAGGTAGGAAAGCACGGAATAGAAACCAGGCCTTTCCATCCGACCAAGCAGCAAATGAGCTAGCATACGAAAGACACTGTGAGTATGGATCGGAAACTCGGTCTTTCCGACTACGCCCAACAGCCCGCCCATAACGCGGAGCGGAAACTAGGCCTTTCCGCCCGCCTCACATCACGGAATCCAGCGTCAGGGTTTACACATTAATGACGACGTGAACATGGATCGGGAACTCGACCTTTCCGACCGTGACGATCAACTCGTTAGCAACGCGGAGCGGAAACAAGGTCTTTCAGCCCGCTGCACTTAGTACATATGTAAAGGTAGACTAGAGACTAGGCCTCGCCAGCTACCCAACTAGTTAGACAATATACATTTGCATAGGTTATTAGATAGTTTTAGAAACATAAACAGCTTTGTAATTGAAATTTAACTTATATACGCATACTTTGTTATATATTAAAAATATCTATCTGTACTTTTAAGTCGCAAGACTGTAACAAACAAACAAATAAAAATAATAATTATTTCCTCCTAAATTTTTACAGTACAGTTTAAGCAAGTTCCAACGTTATGTAAAAACCTTAAAAAAAATCCTAAAGTATTTTGTTTGCGTAAAATTTCATTGTTACACAAACAAAATACATAGGGAGAAATTACCGAACACCAAGTTACCGAGTACCCCCATTACAAATTTGTATGCTTAGAATTGAAAATTCAGTACAAATCAGTACAAATTTTGAAAACTAGGACATTTGCGTACTGATTGTAGAAATGAATAAAATCAGTACGGGAGTTGAAAAATCAGTACTGTACACTGAGGGAAATAATGCATACTTTATATTTGATTATAGTTTAAAAATGTTCAAATTTAATAATAATATTTTCATACAAAATTTATTACGCACCCCAAGCATGCAGAGCGCCGCTCTGATAGCGGTGACAACACACACATTCATACATAGTACATGTTTATCCGTACAAATCGCGTGATGTGGTGTTGATGGATATTAAACATTTGAAATCAAATTTACATGCCTGGGTGTAGCTTAGTGCGCAAAGATGCATGCCACAATTTGTTAATATCCAGAGATGGTTAGGGTTCGAATTCCGCTGCAGGCAACATGCAAGTTAAATATTTTTTTTTTTTGTTTTTATCTTGATTATTCCCTTTACGGATGCTTTTTCAGAACGAACGCGGTCATTTTAATATGCGCGTAATTGAATTGAATATTTACCAATATACAGTACTTTCGTTGACGTTTATAGTAAGATCAATTACGTTTCTATTTGATTTTAATATTGTTTTCCCTCAGTGTGCTGATAAAATCAGTACGTCTGGCAACCGCATTTGAAAATTATCATTAAAATGAAATATTTTTTCGGTTCGTCCGTGTATGTAGATTTGCTGTAACTAAAAATGGACGAAAACATTGGAAAACTTGTGAAAAAATAAAACTTATTACAATCAGTATTCAATCAACCGTCCCCGCTGGGCGGTAAAAATATAAATAAATTTAAACCAACCGAACCATTGAGCCATTCCATATGCCTTTGTGTAAGTTTAATTTTGAAAGCGGTTAACCATCGGCCGCTTTACCGTCGTCCGCTGCAATTCTGGGTAGAGCTTATTTGTTTTTAACCGACATCCAAAAAAGGAGGAGGTGATGAGTTCGTCGGAATTTTTTCTTTTTTATGTATGTTACAGCATAAGTTTGGACCACGTGAACCGATTTCGATAATTCTTTTTGCATCGGAAAGGTAGTGTCTCAGAGGTGGTCCCATACGAAACTGGTTTAGATCCGATCAGCGGGTCATGAGATATATATATATATATATATATTTGTATGAGAAATGAAGTCGGTTTTTTTGCTAAAAATTACTTGTTTATGTAAGCATTTGTTGAAAATGCAGGCTCACATATGTATGTAGATATTCTTGCAACCGACGAAAGTTGGAGATGTTTTTGCACTTTCAACACATGTTTTAAAATTTGTTTTTTTCGCAAGCCCCTTATTTTTTTCCAATTGAGCTCCTCCCTTGCCTTGAAGAGGTGTGATGGTTTCATTTAGTTTTTCGAATATTTCAGAAAGGTATGCCAATCAGCCAATCGACATCAGTTAAATTTTGAACAAAAGACTGCTCTGTAAATGTGACCACCAATGCATATTTTTTCTCAAACAACCTGGCTAAAATCTTTCGCCTTGCAAGCCACCGCAAAAGGTGAAAGCGATCCGTACCCATACTATCTTCAACGGAAAGTTTTAAAAGGCGTGCTTGAAGCGGACAACCCTAAGCATAATTATTTATCTTCGCAGCGTCATCCAATATGGTTTATAAACTATCTTTGTAGTCGCCAGGGAATGCTGATGGATTATACAGTGGCTGCTTGAGGCGTTTTCTGCCACTTGCTGCATCCTAGAAACCGCTCCTTTCGATTTTCTAACCATTGTAGCTGCTCTATCACTGCAATTTTCCACACACTTGCCCCATTTCAAACCATTTTCCTGTACAAATTTGTCTATAGCTTTAAAAATTTCGTCGCTAGTGGTGTAAGTCTCAAGTACTTCGCTCATCAAAAGTTCTTCTTCGATCGGCATTGAAAATCGGTACCTCTGCCTCTGAAATAAAGTTGATTCGCTCCTCTACAGTGGTCACTAATTACGAATCCGATGTCATAATTGCAAAATTCGAAATGGCGGATCCAGTAAGGCGTCTGGTAAAACTCGGGATTTTTAATTAGAATCCTTAGAAAGATTTTGAGTATGCAGTTTTATAGCCCAGTCAATTTAGTGTCACAAAGTGCAAGTTTGAAGTGCCTAGGACTTACCGTTGATTTTTGAGAATTTTTTTGTTGACAGTGCCAGTTATTTTCTTCTATACGAAGTAAGTTCTATGATATGAAGAAAAAGAGCAACACCTTCAACAAAAAAAAAAATCCAAAAATCAACCGTAAGTCCCAGCTTCTTTAAAGTTGCACTTTATTATTCTTAAATTAAATGGGCCACAAAACTGCATACTCATAATCTTTCTGTGAAATCTAATTAAAAAGCCCGAAATTTGTGCATGGGGGTGAAGCTATTATGTACAAGCGTATTAAAAAAAAAAAAAATATATATATATATATAAGGAGCAGAAATGAGCATCTGACTTTTGTTTTATTCTATAGCTAATAGTTTTCTACATAAACTCCAATAGGTTTAAAGGCAGCATGTAGGAGCGTGTTGTTACTGTTGCATTTATCAACTCAAATTTTGTTTAAAAATAAACGAAACAAATACATTTTTATTTCCTAAAAATTCCTGTTACAGTATTTCTTTTCACAAATTTTGTAATGTATTTTTTTCCGTTTATCGATTCCACTGCCGGACACCTTGACGTTTCCCACTAAAGTGTGCGGCAGAAACCTAGGTCTAGAAGAGTACCGAAAATGGTTGTGAAAAGGACACGTTTTCGGCTGTTTTTCTGAAATATTTATGATTCAATTTTTCGTTGACAAAACGAACTGGGGAGCTACGCTTAAGAGCGAAATACACCACACAAGCGTTTTGACAAACCAAGCGAAATATCTCTTTGCCTCAAGCCATTTATGTTGTGTATGGGATTTGACAAGCCGCTTTAGGGAAATTTGAACAAAAATCGAATTTTTTTTATTTTATGGCTGCCATGTTGAGGTTTGATCAAACCGCTTACGTTGTGGATGGCAAAATCAAAAAAGAAAACTAAAATTTTTCACATTGTGAACCGGAAGAAAACTAAAATTCCTTGCTTGAACGAGTAATGTTTGCATCGTGTATGGCGAAATGGAGAAAGTAGGTTTGGAGTATATTTGGGAAGCCGCTTGTGTGGGGAATTTCGCTCTTTAAGCATGCGACGGCAAAACAGCTTGTCGACAGTAGACACAGCATAGTAAAACTGTTGCCATATACTGAAAATTAATTAAACTGCTTGATTACAAAATTTCGGTGAAAGTTTAAAACATTTGCCTACAGCTTTAGTATACTCTAGCCGCTAGCGGCCCCCCTGGCATACGCTCACGGTACCCCAAGGTTCCGCGGCACCCACATTGGGAAGGCCCGTACTAATGCATAAACGACATCAAATAAATTGAATATTAATATGCTAATTAATGGCCAGTTTTTTAGTGCACGGCTGTGGTTTAACCTTAGTTTAAACGCTCGAGCTGGTTGGTTTAAACTAAGACTAGCCAATCAAATATCAGCCAGCCGTCCAATTTAAACGCAGTTTGCATAATCTAAGTTTAAACTGGCACTGAAAAACTGGTCCTAAGCGGCCAAAGCCGTATTACTTGCGCTAATGCAAAAACGAGGCGAAAGCGCAAGCAAAGTTCTATGTGGATGGACCTTAAATGATACTTTATACGATTATGATAAATTAAATTAAGTTTTAAAGAAAAATAATCCATTTATATTCATTTTGAATTTTCAGTCGATGCATCGAACAAAACTTCGGCAAACCATGCCACCACTCCCGCTGCCATACAGCTACAGGTCTCTGCGCAGGGCGAGAATGGAGCAATTGCCGCGGGCTCGATTATCTCCACCCCAATCATGACTGGTAATGGCGGCATTACCAGCACAGTGTATTCACCACCTTTACAGGTAGGCAACGTAGCGTATTTAAGTATATGTATGTATATCTGTGGCGATAAGAAAATGCTTTCTAATTTTTAAAATATGCTTTTAACTATGAAAATGATAAATTCAGATTCTTAACTTTCTAAAATACTGGTTTCTACAGCGAAACAGCTAAAACAAAAGTATCAATTATGTATATATTAACCCTAGAATACTAACTATTTAAGTTTGTTTGTATTCGGGTTTACAGTCAAGTTATTCAGCGATAACAAATACCACAGCAAAAACAAACACATCATCAAAGAGATTCTCACGGCAAATGACTACCCACCCAAATTAACATCCAGACCAGTGTTGCCGTTTTAGCCCTTTGGTGGCTAGATTTAGCTACCACATACTTTTTTTGGCCACATACATTTAAAATTGCCCCTAGCCCTTTTTTAGCCCTTTGGAGAATTTACTTATACTTGGCATGAAAAAGTTGTATGTATGTATATGCTTAATTTGATCTAATTTTTTTCATTTATGTAAGAGACGAATTTTTAAACTAAGAAAGACTGATATATATACATATCTATATGTATTGTGTGTTCCTTACGTTTTTATGCATACATACTGTGAAAGTGTTAAGGCTGTTAACTTTTCTACTAACGATTTAACTATCTTATTACATTAAACGAGCAATTCTTGTATATATATATATATATATATATATACATAGCGTTCTCGGAAACGGCTCTAATGATTTTGATGAAATTTTATACACAGATAATATTGTGGATTCTAAGGTTATCTGAGTAGGCACTATCTCCAAGAAGATTCGTATATGGTTGCCACCTATTCCAAATTAGTTAGAAATTAATTAAAACATCATAATATGGATATCAAATGGAAGGTATTTTGAAGATCCCTAATTCAAAAATATTTTTAATAGGGTTGCCACTTATTTTGAATCGAATAGAAAAAAGGTAAAATATCACTATTCATGGGTACCAAGAGAAGGTTCAGGGTTGCCATGCTTCTATGCAACCAAATTTTTATTTTGTTAATTTCAATCAGCAATTTTTTACACTGTACAAATACCCTCAAGATATGTGCCATTCAGTCCAGCGTATTTCGGAATAGTGTGACCACCTAAATTATGGAGTAAGAAATTTACTTAATATACCTTGTTTATACCTACGCAAGAACCGCATTAACAAAAAGCTGATTTGCCTCAACACATATTTCTTTCAGGCATTTATACCTGTGTCGTTATAGCGCACTCGCTGAAACCGTATTCAAAAGTAAACAAAATTTGTTATTTTTATTCGATATTTCTTAAATAATTAATTTGCGCGGTGTACCGAAATGGAAGCCAACAATAATTCAAATTTGTTATAATACTTCAAATTTAAAACGGGCTGTATAAAGAAAACCAGCCTTTTTTCACTTCGCGTCAAATTAGTGATTTGTTTATACCTGTTCTCTAACCGATGTGAGAAATAAAAAAGCGATTTGAAAACAAATTCGAGTCAATACACTGTCGAATTTCTGAGCGTATTGAAAGTTGGCTTATGCTTCCGTTTTGAATCACAGCAAACTGGGTCAAAGCGCTTTATGTGTTGGTATAAACCAGGAAATAGATATCAAAATCCAATTTTTTTTATTTCCAAAATATTCTTTTAACGCGATCCAAATCTTGAAAACTAAAAAAAGTATATGCACTCCGGGCAAAGCTCGGTCCACCTGGTACTATAATTTAAAATAGATAAGTTTACGGCCCTTAATATGTTTAATTTGTTAAATGGCCCATCAAGTCGATTGATCGTGTATGTTCTTGTGGTGTGATTGTACCAGCTGCTGGTGTCGTGAGTGGTGAAACTAGCTCAATTTTCTAAGTAAAAAGTATTTTGGCGGAAATTTATTGCACTATATGAGTCAAAGCCGTGTTTGTGGAAGATTAAGTTCACGATATTGCAGTTGTGAATTAAAAAAAAAAACAAGGTTTAACAAAATGGTAGAAAAATTATGAAATTTCGGCTCTAATCATTTCAATCTTTCCTCGACCTCATTTGTAAAGAAATAAATACTGTACCAGCATGCTGGTAAGTTATATGCTTCGGGCCCGATGGTACAATCACTTGATGGAGCCAGCAACCTGGTGTCGTATATTTCCCCTTTTATACAAAAAGGTTTTTGGTTGGATAAAATATTTGCTTTTTCCAGAGTTCATTGTTTTTCTATACCATTACTTATTGAAAATGTTTGCGTGTGTACTTACATATGTGTATGTAAGTAAAAAAATTTAGCTACCATTTTTAGCCACAACGATTTTTTAGCCCTTTTTTTAGAGGAATTTGGCTAACACTAAAAATGATTCGCGGCAACACTGATCCAGACTGATTAATCGCTATCACGCCATAAACAACAATAACAACGCTAAGTAAAAAAAAATAAACATCAACACCCAACCACACCAAACAACTGCAAAAACATTCGCGATATCGTATTTTCCATATGTAACCCAAAGAATTACGCGAAAATTCAAAGAGTACACTGACAACATTCGGTTTGCATTCAAAAACAAAAACAACGTTGGACAATTATCTAATAAAATGAAAGATACTATTCCAGCCAAAAAAACAGAAAAACGTCGTTTATCAAGTTGATTGCGCCGATTGTCAGCGAAAGAGAAAATACATAGGCACCACTTCTCAGCAGCTATACAAGCGATTAAATCAGCATAGCAAAGACGTTGGGAACCAAAGAACTGAAAAAAGTCCACTCGCTCATCATGCTCTTACTTTTAGTCACAAATTCGACTTTGATGGAGCCAAAATATTAGCAAGAGAAATAAATTGGGAAAAGCGAATGTTACTAGAAGAAATACTCATAAAAGCTGATAAAAAATGTGTAAACAAACGAAGCGTGGAAGCGAAAAACATTAGCGACATCCACTCGTGTCTTTTCAAATGACATGTCCCAACCCACTGAGCTTGAATTCGCCGAGGAGTAACAAACGTCAAATTTGTGTATACGGAATCATATCCAATATTCGTAGCCTAATTTATAAACTTTTTAAAAATTAGCTTAGACCATGTTTTCTTCGAAAATTTCGATGTAGAAAACAAACAATTGTAAAACTCAACCTCACGAAGAAGAACGTAGCGATTTTTAGTAAGATGCTTTGAGACTTAATAATAATAGATTGGGCTTACATATATGTTAGTTTTTGGCCGAGCTTCTCCTCCGATTTATGGCGTACGCCTTGATGTTGTCGCACAAAGAGGAGGGACCTACAGTTTTACGCCGACTCCGAACGGCGATTGTATTTTAATGAGAAGCTGTTTTTCATGGCAGAAATACACTCGGAGGTTTGCCATTGCCTGCCGAGTAGAGTGGTCCAAAAAAATAAAGTCGGAGTTTTAATGCCGGCACACACTAGGATTGATCTATATCGAAAAAATATACCCCTACTTTTTTATTTTGAAATCAAAAAATATTTAGGGGGTGCTCAAAGCGCTCAAAGTTTTCCATGTATTTTATATGGAGAAAAAACAATTGTTCGTAGAAATGGTATAAAACTCTTGAAAATCAATATTTTTCGACCGGAAAACTGTGGTTCTCTTCAGGAGACTTCCGGTATTAATATCCAATTGTTTATTTAACAATTTTTTATGATTAAAGATTTTTCCATTGCATTTTCTAGGGGTTTTGGAGGACCTATAAAATATAGTTACTATGAAAAAATGGTTAAAGAGATAATTGCGTATTATTACTGGGAATCTCCTGAAGATAAGTAAAGTTTTCCTATCGAAAAATATTGATTTTCAAGAATTCTACACTATTTCTACGAAAAGTTGTTTTTTCTCCATATAAAATACATGGAAAACTTTGAGCGCTTTGAGCACTACTCAAGTTATTTTTTATTTCAAAATAAAAAAAATATGGGTATATTTTTTTCGGTATATAGCAATCCTAGGGGGTGGCGGTATTAAAAAGCCGACCTTATTTTTTTACATACATTTTTGGACCACTTTACTGCCGAGGGGCGACAGCTGCTAAGAAAAAACTTTGTTCTAAATTTTTTCGATGTTGCTTTGACCAGGGCTTGAACCCAGGCGCTGCGGAGTGGAAGCGCGCACTGCTTACCACTATACCATAGCGGCCGCCAACTTAGACTTACATTCTATTATTTATTTAAACTTTTGGTTGATTGCGGACCTAACAAGTTATGTTTATTTCTTTGCTTTATTGTCACTAGGCCCTGAAGAAGACCAAAATAATAATAATTTCTGGCAAAATTTTTTTAGTTTCACTTTTATTTCAACATATTTTGATTAAAAGAAAAATACTGATAAAAATAAAATTTTTCATTTAAACAGGGTTGAAGTCTTGAAATTCCTGCCCGTAGTTTGTTTGTAAGTCAAATATGAGTGGCATTGTGCTACTATGATAGCACGGCCGAGTAATAATAGCCAAATTATGTACAGTAGTCGAAAAAATTATATCCGCACCAAATTTTGAAAAGTTTCAAAATATTTNCAACATATTTTGATTAAAAGAAAAATACTGATAAAAATAAAATTTTTCATTTAAACAGGGTTGAAGTCTTGAAATTCCTGCCCGTAGTTTGTTTGTAAGTCAAATATGAGTGGCATTGTGCTACTATGATAGCACGGCCGAGTAATAATAGCCAAATTATGTACAGTAGTCGAAAAAATTATATCCGCACCAAATTTTGAAAAGTTTCAAAATATTTTTTTTGTTGTTATTTAATTTCGATTAGTTTTTTATAGTTCGTTCTTTACCAACATCCGTATAAATACAAGTTTAAAGACAGTGTCACACGATTGCGTATTTGCTAAAATTTGGTGTAAATCGTATCCCAATTGTTTGAACATACAAAATATTTTTCACTATCCCCATCACGAAAATTAATTTATTGAAATTTTTCAATAGAACATCGCTGTATTGTACCAATCTTTTGAATGCAAAAAAAATTTCCTACTTTTTTTTACCAATAGCCCAATATAAAAATT